GCTTTACTCCGCAATGTAATTTTATGATCACTACCATTCGGAAAACTTCGGGTTCTGCCGGCATTAACATATTCTGATTGGTTAATGGCGTTTTTGACCCATCTGTGTCAAAGGACACATGCCGGTCAACTAATATGTCACAATTATCATGGCGGTCTTTGTTTTTCACCGAAGCGATCGAGTGATCAAAAATAATTGCTCAAATTTTACGTTTATTTCATATAAAAAAATAAGTAACATTTTTTCATGGCATGACTGAGTATGAGGAATTATTGGTATAACCGGTGTATAACATCGCGAAGTAAGTTAAGTCACGTCGTAACTTTGATGATTGTTTGGAAGTTTTATTTGTTTGTTCATTACTGTAAATGTAAACGTTGTAGAAGCTGATGGTACGAATAATGAACAATTTTTTGAAGGAGAATGTTTTTGTAGTAAATAAGATCATGGAAGTCGAGAACATATTCCTGGCTGAAACGTTTCAAATGCGTTTCATTTAGCCTTTTACAATTTATTTGTTTGTTTGTTTTTAATAGTCTGCAGCATTTCCATTTCGATTTGACAATTTTTCATCTTTAAATTCAAACTCTTCTAAATTGTGAAACATAATATTTTGACTCCAATAGAAAAAATATTTGCACTGTGTCTGATCTCATTAATATCCCAAAAGAATAGTGTTTATAACACTGTATGAAACAAAAACATATGTGCCACATTGTTTTTGAAAATATATGTTGTTTGTTATGTGGATGTAAATGTGCTTTGGTCAATCTCTATTATTATGTAAATGATATGCAAATGATATGCAAATTAGTCCGCCACAGTGGTTTAAATTCCTGGGGAGAACACTGTAATACTTAGTATTTAAAATAAAGGATACAGTAAATAGATGTCAGACTGCAATGAGCTGCAAATAGTTGTTGTGTAATACTAGTAGGCGTGCAGGAAATAACTGTTCTGTTGGAGACTGCACGTGTCGGAAATCAACAAGACATTGACTGACTGCTTCATGTGGTGTGAACCTTTATTTTATTTTTCGAAAATCCGCAAAATCTTTGGACAGCTCAAAACCGTGAAATTAAACATGCGCGAAATTAAATGTTTTTACAGTATTCCATAAATGAGCTTCTGCACTGGTCAGGCAGTTTTTTAAAAACATTTGTCATCAAACACCATTTGTGTCCATAACTGCATGTATGTCTTGTCAAATTAGTTGTGATTTGTAATTTGGTTCCGGAAAATTACAATTTCTACTGTTTTTTGGCAATTGAATTGTTCATATGATAAGTTTACCTGATACTGTACATGTATCACTTACTAATTAAATAATTACAATAGTCGTGTAGTTAGCATAGTTTAGCAGAGCTTGCCCAGAGACTAATCGTTACACATTGACTATGCTAAGTCATACTCACCAACACCAATCAATAAAAATACTCGTATCAATTGGTGTAAGACAAGTATGGCTTCACTACGTAAAATGACAGATCATCACCTTTATGAATCTGATCTAATTTCTGTCACTCACGCTGCAAACAAACCATCCATACTCGTCATTCTGCACTTGATAACCTGAGAAATTTTAATTTACTTAATTAATTTCCCTCAGATTATTTTACAAATTCAACTGTCAATATCACTGTGATGCAATATGAATGGATGGTATGATTCATTACTTATACTAACCTTACATGTAATAGTTCATTTCACTTTAACCCATGTTTGCTTCTTTTTAATTTCAACAGAAAATTACTCGTCACTGTAGATGCAGAGGATGATAACTATATGCCGAGCCATATCATAGTGATGGGAGGCGAGGATGAACTCAGGAAACTAAACGACATGAGACTCAATATGTATGTATCTTTGGTTCACAAATAGCTCTTTAATTTCCTGTTTAAAAGATGGTTTTCATCTACCACAAGGGATTAATTTCATATTGTAGGCTTCATGTAAATTGTTCACTGAAGTCGAGAAGTGGCTAGATAAATTAAAAATGTCAAGTGGGTGATTCTACTGAGAGGAAAGCTTGTGTTGAACTGTAGCAAGAGCTGTCAGTGAAAATTGATTAGTCCTGTCTGCCACATTTTGAGTTTTCAAGTTATAATGTTCCAGCTTACTACCTCCTTCATTATTACCTTGAAATTTCTTCTAAGAAAGTGGCGTATTTTAGTTCCACCAAAACAATTGAAATAGAAAAATGTTCAGCCAATCAGATTGCTCCTAATATCTAGTGTAGTAAATTTTATGGAGGCTAAGGTGCAGAGTTATGGTTAATTATTCGTTTCACGTTTTTTAGTTCCCATTTGGATGCCGCTTAAAAACAGGGACTTATGGATTGACTTCTGTGTGTGTGGTTATGTGTTTGGACGTTCTGTCTGGACCGGTTACATTCAAACTTCACACTTACATCATACATAATATGAATGAATGAATAAATGAAAATTTTTGCCAGAAACAGTGTATACATTGTGGGGTCACAGAAATAGCTTATTCAAGCTAGTCTAGTCTGTGACCTATGATCCAAGATATATAATAAAGTAGTGATAAGCTAAGATGTAAAAGACATAGTTAAAGCATGTAATGAGTACTATAATAGCTATAACAAATTTCTTGTGTGGAAAGTTTTAGATACATATAAAAAACAAGAAAAAAAATCGCATATACACTGGACATCAACTGTCTCAACATAAATTATGTAAATGTAACACATGCATTCACGCACGCATACACATGCACAATAATCATGAAAATTCGAAAAATATTAAATAAATAAAACAAAAGACCAATACATAAATACTTATATAAAATATCTAGAAAGTTTAAATAAATAAAGCAATGCATATGCACATCATATACATATGCACATCAATTTGTTTCACAATCTGATTTAAGATGGCCTAATGGCGACCATTTTTGTGCTGAAAATCATCGAAATCAAGCATTTCGAATTTTGGCGGTTTACAGATGGATTGTGTTTAAACTTGGTATATACATTGACTGACTGGCAGCCATTTTGTTTTAATTAATGCTGTTCAATGGTCATGCTGCTCAATATGAAAAAGTACTCGTTTGACATCAGATAGAAGATGACTGAATGTCAATCATTTCAGTGTTAACAAATCACCATAATCAAGCATCATCTTCTGGATCCATACTTCTGACATGTTTATGTTAAAATTATATTACTACATGTGTAAACAATATATCTTAAACTTGGTAACTAATGGAGACTGTGCCATACATGGCTTGCTTTAGTTGTTTATGGATAGCTGATATTGCTGTAGTGACTGTCATGGATACTAAAATTACTGCTTGAAATGTCCCCTGAACAGTGTCATCAACAGTTTCTTATTTTATTCAGACTTGGTCAGCCACATTTATTACTGATGTACAATTTGTGTTTTTTCTCTACCAGGTCTACAGGTGGTGATATATGTATATTGGAAGACATGACAGAACACTATCCAATAATAGAAATAAGAATTAAAGAATGTAAAGGTAACAATTAAACACCTGAGAAATGTTTTCAATCATTCGCCTTATCTCTCAGTTTGCTGAATCCTTCATATGTGCAATGTGATAACTTCTTGCTACACAATTTAAGCATTTAGTGTGCATTTTATCACACAACATAAATTTAGGGATTCACTATTTTTTTCATTTAGAGCTAACTATCCGTCTAAATTTTGACATTCTCTCACCAAAATGTTGAGTAAGTTATGGAGAAATGACAATATCTTGTTTCCATGGAAACAAGTGTAGACTCTTATCCCTTGATCACTTAATATCAAAGTACTTTTATTTCTACCAAATCCTGTACTCAGCGTACTCTGTTAACATCGTATTTCTGTCTAATATTCCAAAATGGCAGTGAATTTATTGTTCTCTTCAGATGAAGGTGTAGATACAAGAATCCATGGTATAAAAATTAAATCAACTAAAGAGCGAGACTTGGGATTAAGTAGAGATTTATTTGCATCAGATAATTTAGTAAGGTCAGTATATTTCTCTATCTCTGTGTGGTATATAGTTACTATAAAATACTTTATTTTAGCTGGAATTAATTTTTGCTGAAAAGAATTTTTGGGTGTTTTATATGGAATTTATTTTCCTTGCTTTTTGACGAGTTAAATGTAAAATATAGGAAAAAAGGCATATTCACTGGATTTTGTTTTCACTGAATTATTCCTTCAGCGAAAAAAACGAAAATTAATTGCAAGCGAAAATAAAGTATTTTACAGATAAGTTATATGGCTGAAGCTTTTTAGGTTTAGTCCAAAGTCTAAGGTGTACTTCCTCAAACAAAGTTTTCATGGGTGTGTAGGATATATTTAGATTTGTTTGGAGCTCTGTTATACATCATTGTTTTTTATCTTCTTACTCAATAAAACATGCAGAAAACTGGACACCCATGAAACTGGAAATATTGTTGAATTTCTTTGTTGTATTTGTATTTGCTGATACATGAAAAACTGAGATTCGGTTTAGATGTGTTGTAGTTTTTTCAAGCCAAGTTTTCATTTTATTTAAACTTCAAAAACTTCTAAGTTGCTTTTGGCCACTTTTTGTTTGTAATGCAGTCTCAAGTTTTAAATACTGTGGTTTTGGAGACCATAAAGATGCAGTCAAATCTTGAATATCTAAATGAATTATTATTTATATATCTGTCGAATACTTGCATGTCAAAAAAAAATTGGATAATCAAGGTTTACTGTAAAATACTTTATTTAGCTGGAATTAATATTCGCTGAAAAGACTTTTTGGGTGTTTTATATGGAATTTATTTTCACTGATTTTCGACGAGTTGAATGTGAAATATAGGAAAAAATCACTGGATTTTTTTCACTGAATTAGTCCTACAGCGAAAATAGCGAAAATTAATTGCAAGCGAAAATAAAGTATTCTACAGTAACTACATTGTTGGTGGTGGTGTGTCGCCTGTGGCCTACTAAAAACAAAAGCAAACTATAATGTTTCTTTTATATCTTCTTAGATACCCCAAGTTAGAATTAATTGATGTAGAGGTTCTTTATAGGCGATCACTAGCACTACAAAGGTATGTATGCTAATTTTATGGTTTTAGCTTGGACACTTAAATGACAAAGGTTGTTGTGTGAATTGTTTCTGTTTGAACTATAAACTTACATTTTCCCTCATATATCTTCATTTATATTTTTTTGGGAGATTAGTGACAAAATACAAGAACAATTGTTTTTTTTTGTTTTTTTTATGCCATGTTAGATTTGTCTTTGTTATTAAATACTTACTCTTGAATTCTGCTTCATATTACACATTATTATAATACATCCACTGGTGTAAACTAGCATTAGAGGGTGGTTGTTAAGAGCTTCATATTTGTATTCCCATACAATGTGTGTATAAAAAAATACATTATTTTTTTACATGAAATTCTCTTTAAGTGATTTGCTAGTCATACCACTTTATATTTTGTATTGTACTGGTTAACATTAAAGCAATCTATTAACGAAGGAAATAATAGAGTAAAACTATCGACATAGAATAGATGTTTTCAACAATTTCTGTTCTTTGATCCGAAAACGTGGCCAAGCTTGAAACATTTTCCTTTGAATAATATAAATTTGCATTTGTTTATATATTGCTCATTCAGATCTCAGTAGCAACTCTAGTGAATATGTGTACATGAGTGAAATGAGACAAAATTATGGAATCTGAAACAAGGCCATGAGTTGATTCTCTAAAAATAAACCATTGCATGAGTAAACTTATAGGATACGACTGCTATGTTAATCATTGAATTTCTCTTATACTTGTAGGTTTATACGACTACTAGACAGTGTGATAGAATACATAGTCCCAGCATGGGAATTCTCAGTGGGTTCATTTAGTTCATTAGAAGTAGTACGACAACTCTTACCGTTGTCTAAGAAAAGGCTAGCACTCATTGATACCTTTCTAAGGGAGTCAGAAACGTGGTAAGTACAGGTTGGATATTATCGAGGGTCATTTCTTCGCCTATGGCACAACTATAATTTTCACAAATTGCATCTTGTCGTTTAAGCTTCTCTGCGTCGGATGCATGCATGTTGGATATTGGTCATGTGACTGAAATTTACAACTTAGTTTCTATTAACATGCATTCACGCCTTCACAACTTTTTTGGGGTGAACCTTTGTGTGTATACATATAGCATGTACAACTGAATAATGCAATAACAAATATACATGTACCTAGCCAATCATATGGTCTCGTAACTCAGAGATGTTGTAGTGATTTAAAATTTTTCAGATTTTTACTAGTTACCCACATCCGTCATTAAATATACATGTATAGCAGTTGTATAACATAACCCATGTATTACATGCACTTTATCACTAAATTTTATTTTGGTAATGATTTTCTTTAAACTATT